GCTGCGCGGCCGCCCGCGCCCTCCGTGCTCGGCAGGGAGACGAAGGGAAGCATGGTCTGGACCTCAGCGGCGGGCCTCCAGCTGCGGGCCTGCGGAGCGGGGTGTGGAGCTCTGGCTCCTGGCCTCGGGAGATCCCGCTCCGCACCTCCTCTCCCGTGCCCGGGCTCGCCCGGGCCGTGGGGACCCCTGGACTTCTCAGGCCTGCGGCCCTGGCGCGCTCTTCCTAGCAGTTCCCACTCACTGTGTCCGTCAGCCTGGCGGTCTCCAGCATCTAGGGGAGCCCAAGGCGTGGAGGACGGGGCTTCTCCGCTCCTAGCCCCGCCGCAGCCACGCCTCCCGGTTACCAGGCGAAGGGAAACACCTTGAGCCGGCGGGCAGCCCGGGGGGTGTGTGCCCCAGGGAGCGCAGGAGCGTGGGCCCCAAGCTCGAGGCAGTGGCCCGAGCCCAGGCGGACCTTCCGCAGGACGCCGCCGGAGGACGTCCCCAGGTCCGTCCCGGTCAAGTCGGCGCCCCAGCCCCAGCCCACAGCCCACAGTCCCTCCAGGCGGCCCGTGAGGCCCTAATATTCGCGCGCGCTCCTGCTCGGGGAGCACTGAGCCAGGGTGCTTGTGAGCATCTGACTGCAGATTTGTGTCAGTCCTGGGAGTGCTGTACTAAGACCCCCACCTTGCGTACCGAGAAGCTGTAAACGCACTGTAAGCGTGTTTAGTGGCTGGGGCTTACGAAGCCTAAGTAACCTGCCCGAGTGCACACAGCGGTTTCACGCTAAGGGCGGGATTCAGCGCCACATCTGTCTCCAGACTGGCGCTCACAGCCCGTGCTGGGGCCAGTCTGTCCCGGCGCTGCGCTCAGACGCTTGGTCCGCGCTCTCTAGGACGTTTCCTGAGCACTTGTAATTCTTCGTAGTTACAGGAGCTACACAGTGATGTCATTCGCGTTTAATAGCTAGGGAACCACAGGCTCAGGGAGGCAGGGCCACCGCCCCAGTGCCATACAGCCTGTGAGGGGTACAGGGGGTGTTGGAGCCCAGCCCGAGCGATGCCAAAGCCCTGGGGCCACAGGGGTGAAGATAGATGGTCTCATCCAGAAGGGCCGAGCCTGGCAAGTAGCCGTTATAGACTAAAACCGGTGCCTTGTCCCAGCGGCGGTGCTGCCACACTGGCACGCTTAGCACCCCCGCCCCCACCCGCTCCCCGCTGATTCGAGCGAGGTCGCCAGAGCTTCTCACCGTGCAAAACCCAGCTGTGCTCTGGTGAGAGCTCCCACACTTGCCTTGGTGATGTCACCTTCGTCCTGACTACGCTGCTCTCCCACGTCTAATCTGGAGCAGTAGCCTAGAGGAGGAAATTGAGGAAAGGTTTTTGTTTTTGTTTTGTTTGCTTTTTGCTGAGCTGGGAGATCAAACCCAGAGCCTCACACATGCTCGACAATTGTTCTCCTGCTGAGCCACATCCCCAGACTCTAGTGTTTCATTTGAAATTTTTTTTTTTTTTTTT